TTTAAAATTTTCTGAGGAACTCCATATTTTCCATACTGGCTGTAGCATTTTACCATTCTGTGAAGAGCGTACAAAGGTTCTAATTTCCCCACACCTTTTGTCAACGTTTGTTATTTCCTGTGTTTACTTTTGTTTGTCTTCATGGCTGCCACCCTGATGCATTTTTGTGGCAGGAATTTAACAAATGATCTCATTTTGAATCCCTCTACAAACCTGTAGCAATGGATAAGTACCATAAAGCAAAAATTCTTGGCATAAAATGTTACTGTAAGATTAAAAACAGGGATTCCGGTCCAGGTATTTCTGTGCTTAACCACGAACATCTTATTGTCAGCTTCACACAATCACAAAACTAATAGAGTTCTTTTGTTCTGAGCTACATTAACGTAAGGGGCTTTACAGGATTTCCTGACATTAAGTGTGAACTGTGAGCTTTAACTTTTTAGAATGGCGGTCCCCAGCATGGTACCCAGACTGGCCCCAGCACCAGCATTACTGTGAACTTTATTAAAAACACAAATTCAGATCTTACCCCAGGCTGCTGACTCAGGAGCTCCAAAAGGGGCCAGAGTAAACTATTTCAACCGGCCCTCCGGGTGATGCTGCTGCCTGGTCAGGTTTGGACACCGCTGTGTGTGAGGCAGGTATCTAAATGGTTGTCAAATAATTTTTCACTGTTGCTGAACAGAAAACTGACATTTTGAGCACTTTGTGGTTTCCAGGGCAACCTGTTAGGGTCAATCCGTGTTTTGTGGTGTATACCTCAGTTGTCAGGAAAGTGTTAGATTAGCCCAATGAGAGTAGAACTGGGACAGTAGGTCTCAATGTGTTTAGAGATTTACCCAGACTCTAAGTTATCAGAGTTGGTGTTGAACAAATGACCACTGGGGAACAGCCACTCTAACCAGGACAGCGCTGGTTCAGGACTCAGCATGCTCCTGGCTCAGCAATTGTATAAGGTATCTGCCCAGATTCTCATCTCTGCTCACCTCCAAGCCCTGCTTGCTGCCTCCCCCTGGAGCAGGCCGACAACACACCTTGTAAGGAAAGGACTGAGCAGCAGGATGCAGAAGGGAAAACCAACAAGCAGTGACCAGCCCTGCCTCCGCTTGCCAGGCTGCTCCCTGGCCGATGTGGCCCCCAGACCCTGGCTCCAGGTGCCCTCGTCTAGCTCCTTGAGCCTTTGAGAAGAAGAGCTGAGCCCCTGTGTTGGTTTGGGGTTATATTGCAAGGGGAATGGTATAATACAGGACACATACTTTATAAAATCATTTATAACAGTCACCCAAAGAATCATATACAAAAGAGTGCAGGAAATCTGTCCACATGCTCAAAACCAGAGAATCTAGCTGAGGGCCTGGATCCCACAGAAATGTCCTGCATGAGTCCAGCTGAAGACCTAGAACCCACAACAATGCTTCCTATGAATCCAACTGGAGGCCCAGAGCCCACAACAATTCTCATGGAGCCCTGTTTTGTGGATCTGTGCTGGGAAGGCCCAAAGGTCAGTGGTGGAATCTAGAAAGTCTGTGCCAGCAGGATGAAGGATCTGTGGTAGCAGGCTGAGGGATCTGCCCTGGAGCCAGGAAGCACCGCTCAAAGTAAGAACCAGAGCTCCCTTGAAAGGTACCACAGCCATCCTCAGCAACAGTGAGGTCCCAAGCTCCTCCAATGATCAGGAAAGCTGAGTTCCCATCAGGAAAGCCAACATGACAAGCTTCTCCAGGAGACTGACCTATGCACCTTCTTCCCAGCTGGAGCCAGGAAATGATGCTCAGAGTGAGGACCAGACCTTCCCCAAAGTGAACCAAAGCCATTCTCAGTGACAGCAAGGTCCTGAGCTCCTTGGACAATGGGAACAGCTGAGTTCATCAGGAAAGCCAGCATGACAAGGTCCTCCAAAAGAAACAGCAGCTTCTTACAGCTTCTACCTGCTCCCAACAGCCTTTCTTCTTCTCCATTTCTGCCTCTTTTGCTGCTGGCAACAATCCTCAGATGGGCCTCCCATACCCAACACCACACTTACTCAGTTCAGCTGGGGGTTACAAATTGTCGGTCTACCACAGTCCCACAAATTACCTTCTCCTCTGAAAATGGGAGGAATTTTTAGTCCTAGGCAGAGAGTTGTGGTTTACGCCCTTCGTCATGGTATAATTATTAATAATAAAATATCTTTTAAGTTGTCATTCTTCAATAATAAATCAACTCTACCAAAAATCTATTCTGATCCTCTAGGTAGACCTTTGCCTTTCCTTAATACTTTTAAGCAAATGAGAGATCCTCTGGAAAAACAGGAGATTATACTATTCTACTCTCCTCAGTGAAACAAGGTGATTCGGGGGGCCAGTGGGTTAGGGAATTAATTCCTGAGATATTTTGGAGAGAAGAGTGGGCTGGGGCTACTGTGTTTATAGAAACTGTGACCCCACGAGCACTCTCACTCGTTCTCTAGAGCCTCCCCTCCTATTTCTCAGCCACCCATCCTCTGCTCCATGCTGTCAGTGCGCCCTCTCCAGGGTAGTGAAATCTGGAGCAGAAGCCCCAAGGGTCAGCCTTTCCTGTTCCTATGATCAACTGGGAGGGACTAAGAGGAGAGGGGCTGTGTTGCTGTGTACAGGAAATCTTGAAAAATTGTTCAAACCTGCTTCCGTGTGTTACTAGAACCAAGCCTAAAAACCAGGTTTAAAGTGAAAATAGGGGCTGGTAAAAGTTATCTGCACAAAGATGCCCCTTAACTTAACACCTCACAAATGTGTCACCTGCTCATCCATTCTAGGAAACACGCACAGCCAACGTCGTCCTCTCTGTGCGTCTCAGGGCATGCAGATCAGCACATTCCCATCCCGGCAAGGGCAGGGCTGGACTTAAAGAACGCAGAGACCAGCAGGAAGACATGGGAATTTGGATTCCTGCCCACGCCATACGGAACCGTGAATGCTTTTTTGCTCCTCATCTTAACAAATACCAGTGTTGTGTTACAATATCTGACACTTGGTTTGTCTTACACATTAACTCTGTGATAAAAATTGATCAATAATCAGCCTCATTTTCAGCCCAAATCAATACACATCTTCTTTGAAGAAAGCAGAGTGCAAACAAAACTAGATCCTATGGTTTTAACTGACCTCAACCTAATGTAGATGTAAAGAAAGACCCAATCACTTAGGTACCATTGATCTGATTTCTCTATGCTCTTGTGAATTAATAAATTACATCTCATCTATTTTCTGAGTAAACTTTTTATCACTGATTAGTTCTCGAAGGCTAATTGATTTACATTTTCTAAAAGACCCATTATATTGGTTTTCAGAAAATGTAAACGGTAAGATTAGAAAATAGTACACGTGTGTATAACTTGTATGAAATATACAGAATATCAAATTATATACTCATTCCAGTCTTATAATCCCCCAAAGAACTCTATAATGGAAGGTACATGAAAACACTACAATTATATTTCTGTTTGTAAGGAAAATTTTCCAATTCTGTAAATGTGAGCTGGAATTATTTGTGAAAAGGGACACAATTTTGATGAGGAGAGCTTGGTGGTACGTCTTTGACTTGCCTTTAGTAACCATGAGCACATTTGTCACCCAATCACAGAAGAGACTTTTGCTCATCCTCCAGACCTTACTCAGCACATTCCAGCGATAAGTCGACTTCCTTCCTCACTCCAACCCCAGAGGAAAATCAGAGATATGGAGCAACTTTGCCTGACACTTCCAGAAAAAAAAATAGTGAACTGAAGAAACCTTTTTGTGTTTATACTTACAGGTTTAAAAAAAAAAAGAAAAACAACCAGATGCTTTTTTTATCATATGCTTTAATTTGTATAGATAGTCTACCAATATAGTCATCAAATAAGTTAATTAGTAACAATGAAATAGAATGGCAATATTTAGAAAACATATGCTCACACATGTTGCTTATTTGAAATATATACTTTCAAAATCTAAGCTTACTTCCTTTTTTAAAAAAATTTTAAAAACTATTTTATAATAACTGAGTGTTCTTAAGTGGTAGTAGACATATAATTAAAGATGTTAACAGGTACTTATCTTTCTGATTTGCATTTGGAATTTGGTTGATTGTGACCTTAGGAAAGTTAACATTCAGTTACAATAATGAAGATTAATATGCAAAAGTTATACATTTTGGTTCACTTATAAAATAGGTTATACATTTTGGTTCACTTATAAAATAGGTTAACCACCTGTGAGTGAAGACAAGAGCTAGTTAATGCACTTTAGAATGTATCATGATGCCTTAAGACAGTGCTTCACAAACTTTAATGAGCATAAGAATTACCTGAAGTAATTCTAAAATGCAGATTCATAGCTTCCATCACCCCAAATTCTAAACCATTAAATCTAGGACAGCAGAGGCGAACCAATAGCACACATGCCTCAGCAGGCTGTTTGTATTACTGAAAGCTCTACAAAGCTCACCATTGTTGTTCTAAGATGAAGTCCAGGTGTGTGTGTGTGTGTGTGTGTGTGTGTGTGTGTGTGTGTGTGTGTGTATACACACATATATATGTATATATATACATATATATGTATATATATATTTATCACTCAATCTCATACTCAGGTAACTCCTATAGAATTAGAATTCAGATCTCTCTTTGAGAAATAACAAATTAAGATGGTAGATATACTTATTATTTCAAGATCAAGCCATAGGATCATCAGATGAATTGCCAACCTTTGCCTTTCTTTCAAATACTTTATCATACTTTGCCAGAATATTGAGGTACACAGGATATAAAAAGCTGATGATGACAGTTAAGATCTATTCATTCCAGGGACTGCGTTTCTTAGCATGACCATCAAGAACTGGCCCATTGCTTTTAGAATCGATTGATGTTTAAGTCACGTAGACTTGAAATTGTTTCACTTTTGTTAATTTTTAGTGTCTCCGGTACTGCAGTATAATATTGTCCTATATTAAAATGAAATAAAATCATAGTATTTATTATGTTTTTCTTTGGTTTCAAGGGAAGACGAGGAAAGCCAGGGCCCCCCGGAAAGCCAGGACCTCCAGGACCACCCGTGAGTAAATAATAGGATGACTGTCCCCTCAAAGAGTGCCTTTTTATTTCTATGTCTTACCTAAAGGTATTGTACTCCCTTGTTGGTAATAATTTTCCTCTTTGCACCATTTAGAATGGTGGACATCAGCACCTGGGTGCATAGTTTATACTTTTTACACCCTCACACCATCACTACCTTAAGCCAAGAGACAAGGGAAGCTGGTGGCTGTCTGCACACCTCATGTATTTCATTATTATGTGGACAGGAACAAGTGTGGTACCTGCCTAAGGACCCCAAGCCAAGCACCCAAACTGATGAACCCATTCTAAACTTACCTTAGCTCCATTTTCTTAATTTCTTAACATCCATGTTGGGGGTAAGATAGATAACCAGGGAATCATATCTACTGTTCTTGATGGGAAACTATGTCATTCATAGAATTTCATAGAATGGATTTGTTAGCAAGAATTATAAAGATTTTCAAATCGTTGGATTTTCTAGTTCTTTTACTCCAAGCTTCTAGATAAAGGTTTCTACTTCTTGTAGTCTTGGTAACTCGTCAGCCCAAAGAAGCTGAGTTCGTGTCCAAGCTATTCTCATGGTGCTGAACTTCCTGTGGTCCCAAAGAATGTCTGAGCTCCCAGGTTCCCTGAGCACTTACAGGCTCCATCTTACTTCATTGCTACAGGAAATTCCAACAGGAGTTTATACTGTTGTTATTCTTTTTTGATTTTTTTTTTTTTTGGTTTTTTTTTTTCTCTGGTACCAGGAACCGAACTCATGACCTTGCGCTTGCCAGGCAGGCGCTTTTGCCGCTGAGCTAAATCCCCAGCCCCTGTTATTCTTTTTTGAAACTCTCTATTCCCTTGGTTTAATGACTTTGGTTTTTCTCCGCTAACTCTAGGGCCCCGCCCTTTTGTCTCCTTCCTCAACAGCTTTGCCTCAGACCCTGCTGGTATGTTGCATAGGTTCATGAACCACAGTCTTTTAGTTAACCCAGACATTGCTCCTGAGCTCCAGTCGCATTCCACTGTAGCTCAGCATCTCCATATGAAGGTGTCATAGGTCGTACAAAAGCAGCACATCCAAAACTAAACTCTAAAAGCAACTCCACAGTTCTTATCTCTCCTCTTGCTCCGTATGTAAGCACTCCCTAAATCAGTCAGGTTTATATCCCTCTGTTACAGGAAGTAGCTCCCAACCCATTAGATGTGCTGAGCTCATGTCTCATGTCTCCGAAGAACGGACTTGGGGACAAAGGGGGGTTAAGAGTAGGAAATGGTGAATGAGATCAATCAAGCTGGGCCTTCCCAAACAACTGATTACTCATATTAACAGAAAGTTCCTAAGAGCAGGAGAGGTCCTGAAAGCAGGTTACTGCTGAAGCTCTTTATCTAGTAAAGGCTATTTTTATAGTATCTTTTATACAGTAAAGGCTCATTGTGTGTTATTTTCCATTAAACTCTGATCATCCTGTGGGAGGACACGTACAGATGCTTAGCTAATAATGACCTAATAGAAAAGCAAGGTGTGTAACAAGGGTACATAGAGGGAGGAGGACAAAGGCATTTCTGGAAGGGGCAGGCATGAGCCAGAGTGTCTGGTCACCTGTATAGGTGTATTACATTGTTCAGTACTACAGGACCGGATGGTGCTGGTTACCGTGCAGCTTTGAGCTCTTGTTTCTCTCTGGGGAGGCCCTCAGCCTTAAACCTGTGGCTCCATCTTGGGGCCTCATTTCTGTCACCTCAGCCCTCGACCACAGGCCTGGTTTACCTCATCTCTGGTACCTGACTCTGTCTTGGGTTTGGTCCCTTTCTTAACTGCCTTTCACTCTCTACCTGCTTCGCTGTCTGCAATATCTACTGCTCATCAGTCCATCTCCTCCTGTTTCTCCTTACTCCACTTCCTTAATTTAGCCTTTGTCAATGCATACCTTTATTTTTCGGCCATCTAAGAGTTGGTCTGGTTGCCTTTACCTTCTCCACGTGGAAGAGCATCTCTCCATCATGACCCTGATGTGCAACTCAAGCCTTGGTGTAGTCAGGCTGGTTTTAATAACTTAAACAGTTTGCCTTAGAACTCCTTACCAGCTTCCTTTTCCTTGAAGAAAGATGGACTTCATCCTTCTATGTGCTAGCCTGGGCACTTAGCGATTTCCCTGTGACTAAATTTGGCTGTCCTCTTCTCAGCCCTTTCCTTCCTTTGTAATCTGTGCTCTAATCTTCTCTATCACAGAATGCCATGCTTGCAGTCGTTCCCCACCTTCCTGACTCAGCTTAAGCATCATTTCTCTCCCTAGTCTTGGCCAGTGTGCTGCTGTCTCTGTAGCCCTCTGATCTCCTGCACAAAGCACAGTGCTTTGTTACTATTCTTTTCTTTATCTGTCTGACTGCAGTGTGTGTGTGTTTTTTTAAAATCCTCTATTTTGTCACCATTACCTCACATTTTCTAGTTTGTACCATGTAATTATTGATCATTTAATGAATGAGTAAAGAAATGAATACATTTTGTCAATGAGAAAATATAGAACAGACTAGTGACTTTGCAAAGACCAGAACTTACACCACCACTAGAGTACTTCACAGACGGAACATTAGGAATCTCCAGATGCCGTCACATGCCAAAGGGAACAGGACTGCTGTTCCGTCCTTTATTTCATGTTAGCCATTCAAGTGGATAATCCTATTGCTAACTGATTGTTGTTGATTCACATTGGTGATAAAGAAGACAAAGGTATGACCTGGATATACTAGAATCTAGTTTGTAAAGGTATCGGCTTCATATAGTTTCATTCCAAATTTTTTGGCAAAACAGAGAACATATTGCGAGGTATTGAATATTTGTTTTGTGCTTTAAATAAGAAAGCTGGTGAATACCAACAGGCAAAATTAGACCTTTGTGTAGTTTTCTAAATGTATAATGTTGCTTTTAACACAACGTAATTGTTTCCTCAAAGGAGGAATTTGAATGATGAAAGCCTTCATGACAAGCCTGCCAAATGTCTGGGAGACAAGAGGATAACACAAACTTTTGGAATGAGTTCTCAACTATTGATAAAATGAGTTTACTAAAGAACTTGAAAGATTGAGAAATATGTGGCTATATGAGAAGATTTATAATACTCAGTTCTACAGTTTCTGTTTATTGCTAGAGTGTTTGGGGAAGAGAAATGCTTATTTTGTTTCCTATAACAAGTTCAGAATTTAGACTCAGCCATGGATTTGATATACACTACTCATTAAATCCTGAGTACATGGTATTTGAAATAAAAGTAGCTATTAACTTTTTTAATATAATATATCCAGCAGATTAGACTAAAGAAATAAGGAATAAACTTACACAGAAAATAAAGAATTTTTTGCTGTATTATATTTATTTTTTTAATTTTAAAGAGAATAGTTTTTTTAAAAAGAACAATAGCAAAATACCAACATCACAGACAAAAACAAAACAAAGCAAAACCATTAAAAATGATATTGGTTTCAAAACAAAATGATAGGAATTAACAGTGGCTGTAATATTACATATTGTTATCTTCAACGAGGTTGCTCAGATTACCAGATGTAAGAATGCAAGATTGATCAAACCATTAAGGAGAATTAAAAATAATAATAAAAAAATTAGAGACAATACAGAGTTTCACTAGACAAGATGGTAGGAGTTCACCAGTGGCTGTTATGTTGCGTATTGTTGTCTTCAAATCAGTTGCTCAGATTGCCAGATATGAGCATTATATGTAGATCAACTTTTGTTTAAAAAAGAAAAGTGTTCAGCTAAACCTTCAGCACTCTCTGTTTTAAGAATTATGGTTTGGGCCAGGGATGTAGCTCAGTGGCATAATCGCTTGCCTGGCAAGCCTGAGGTTATGAGTTCAATCCCCAGTATCAAAAAATTTTAAAAAAAAGAATTGTGGTTTATGTAAATCTCTGATTCTGGGATGAATCTCCTAACTAAATGAAATCTCTTTTCTCTCATATAAGTATCATCTAGACTTCACCTTGGGGTACAGTTTTCCTTGCCTTTTGTGTTTTTTGAAGCTGCTCAGGTCATGGGTGCAACTGGTGTACACAATGAGAAGTCTTAGGCTACAACACCACCACCACCCCGAGCTGGAGGCGCTCCGTGAGGACTGCGCTGAAAGGGAAAGAAAAATAACTAGCTCCCAACTTTGCGTGTCACTTTCACATTTAATTTGTCCAAACAATGTCCTTTAGAAAGAGAAGCGCTGTTTCCCAAGTGACTAGAAACAAAGGGTTTGTCAAAGAGTCCCTCAAAGTCATAATAACTAACACTTTTAGAAAAGGATTGCTCAAAACATCTAACTCTTTCTAATTCGCATTGGTGAACTGTTTCACAGACTTTACTTACAGGCCTACTATGTGCCTAGTACTGTGTTCAGGGCTGGGCTTGCAGGGCTGAGTAAGACCCTACCCTTGCCTTCTAAGAGATCTGACGTAGTTCACAGAAATGTGGAGGGAGGAAGAGAATTCAGGAAAGGTGATGCTTAGAATTAGTTTCCTTCAGTAATTTCTGACTGAAGTGTACAGACTGAGGAGGGCTGTCCAGAAAGCAAATAAAAGAGAAGAGACAGCAAGCTAGGGAGAGGAAGACAGTGTAGCCAACATAGCCTGGCAACAAAGCACACAGCCACCATGATAAATGAAGGCCGTGCAGCAGCCAGGGGAGCTCTACAGTCCTGGGAAGGCGCAACAATGTATGAAGAGTTCTAAGCTGGAAATTCCAGTGACCAGAGAGAAGAGAGATACATTGGAGTGGGATGACTGAAAGAGAAAACAAGATCCACTGTAGATGCCATTGTGTTTACAGTTGAGATATACATACAGATGTAAAGAGGGCTATAAACAGAGGGAGACCCGGGACGATAGCAATCACAAGGTCCTGCCTGGCAATCACGAGGTCCTGAGTTCCATTCCTGGTACCAAAAGGTGAGGGGGGGAGTGGCTGAGGATAAGCTCAGTGTTAATAAGACCCTGAGTTTGACCCCTAGGACCAGT